ATATCCTTTGAGCGCCCGATGAGGTCCGTTTGAGCGTCAGATTTCATCTTTGACTGGAGATTCACAGGATGATGACCAACTAGCGGAACTCGAAGAACAAGCCCGAAAACAAGAGGAGAAAGAGATGGAAGATTCAGGGGAAGTCGACGGCGAAGAGGCTGATAGAGAGATTGACCATCTGATTCTTGTCACACACGGGATTGGCCAAAGGTTGGGATTGCGGTTGGATAGTATTAATTTCGTGCACGACGTCAATGTCCTCAGGAAGACCATGAAAAGTGTATACGCCGCATCACCAGATTTGCAGGTTCTTAACTCGCACGTTGACTCCGAGCTCAAGAACTGTCGTGTCCAGGTCCTTCCCGTATGCTGGAGACATTTACTTGACTTCCCACAACAAGGACTCAAGCAGCATCGAAAAGAACTTGACCTTGCTGACGCTGATAAAATGGCAGTTGAGGATGCGCACTATCCAAGTTTGAAAGATATTACACTAGAAGGGGTCCCTGCTGTCCGAAATCTGATTACTGATCTAGCTATGGATGTTTTGCTTTACCAGAGTACCTACCGGGAGCATATTGCGGGTATCGTGCAAAGGGAGTGCAATCGCATATATAAGCTTTTCAAAGTCCGCAACCCGAGGTTTAAAGGTTCCGTTAGCTTTTGCGGTCATTCCCTGGGTAGCGCCATACTTTTTGATATCCTCTGCCACCAACCAAGGACTCCAGGAGAGGTCAAGTCCACTAATTGGAGTTCCTCAAGTTCTAAAAGTAGAGGAGTTGAAGCTCCGAAATCAGAAGCCTTTCCCTTGGATTTCGAATGTGCTGATTTCTTTTGCCTTGGATCTCCGATTGGGCTTTTCCAGATGCTGAAAGGGAAAAGAATTGTCGGAAAGGACTTGAAGATAATGGACTCGACCCAACCCCCTGGTTTCATAACTTCAGTCTCGTCACCTAAATGTGGGCAACTATTCAATATCTTCCATCCGTCCGACCCTATCAGTTACCGCATTGAACCCTTGATATCCCCAGCCATGACTGCACTGAAACCTCAGCCCCTACCATACGTCAAACGGACGATATGGAGCACGTCAGGTCAGAGCCTCACTAATATCAGTACCCGGGTGGGCCAGAGTGTCGGGTCCCTTTGGACTCACTTTGCTTCCGGGGTTGCAAGCAGCTTTCTGAACCGCAGCTTGGGCCTGAGTGAAGCGTCAACGCAACCACGACTAGCTGTTGGAGAACGGCAAAAAATAACTGGTTCACGCACTGAGTTAGATATCGATCAATCACAGGCGATTGACATGGGAGCGGTGGTCAACGAGTCAAGTCCATCCCACCAGAAATACCCGACTCTCATCGATGCGAATATCGAAACGCTCTATGACGGGTTTCAGAAAACTAGGAACTCATCGATCGACATAGCTATTGAATCTGAATCCTCAATCGGGATTGAAAATCGCGCGCGCAATATAAGGCATGAGGAGGAAAAAGTCCGCGCTTTGAATTCTAATGGTCGGGTTGATTATAGTATACAAGAGTATGTTTTATGAACCTACGTGCCGTGTTTTCGGGTAACATTTTGCCGTTTCTTTTTCTTTTTCATTTTCTTTTCTTTTTTTTGAGAAGAAAACGTAAGCTAATCTAACCACAATCACATAGAGGTGCATTTGATATATCTCTTATAGCTAGCATTGCTAGCCATCTTTCCTACTGGGCTGATGAAGATGTGAGCCACTTTATGCTATCACAGCTGCTGTCAAGAACCCTCAAGGAGCAGAGGGATCGTAAATGATGTCAAATCCGGGTGCCATTTGATGAGCTCACCAAGTATGATAGTTATGATTGTCCCTGGCAAAACAGCCTGGCTCATAATAATTATGTATATATATATATATAATTCCTAATTATCCTATCTAGATATTTGTGGCATACAAACCTGGAAATTTAAGTTTATCTATCTACTTTTACATTTGAAGGTAACTGCGAAGTCATGGTATGTCCAACCATGATAGACAAAATTTCTGCATTAAATAGCATAGCAATTAACAGGGCACATGGCAGTAATTTTTCAAAATTAACCTTGGAAACTCCATATGGCGTGAGATTCGCCCTTGTGGGTGTCATAATGAGGTCATCATTCCCAACCTGATGCAAGTCAAAGACCCCTGCCAACACCGTTCTTATGTG